TTTGCATTGTAAACATTAAATACAAGTTAAAAAGGTATTACTTTTCATTTCATATATTAAGGTTTTACTTATGATGCTCCCAAAATCATTCCACATGAATCCGCAGATTTTTAACAGAATTCTGTGCAGAAATAGCAAAAAATGTCCACAGAGTTCGTCTGGCCTTGCCCATCAGATTGTTTATTATACTCTGTTGAAAATGTAAGTTTTTGGGTCAGAGGGAATTGTTGCTGTTATTTGCCTGTGATGGTTCTTCCTACCAAATCAAAGTAGATTCTCTTTGTCCCGCGTTCATTTCGTTTCAGAGAAGGCTAATGAGGGTTTGATGTCAGGATAAAAACAACAAAAAGACAGAAAGCAATTATACACAATAAAACAAGAATCTACAGTCACAAATCCCACAGTAAGGTGAATAAGCCACACACAAATGACCTTGTAAATTACCTTGTAGTAAGTCACTCAGGTCACTCAAAATGCAACTAACCATTCCAATAATATCCAGCTGCAGACCCACAGGTTTCAGACCTCACTACATTTAGACCACTAGGTCTAGGCTTGGGAGGGCGTGAGTATGTTAGTTGGGATTACAAATGCGTCTAATAAGAAAGTGCACTTACATAATTTTTGTGAAGCAGTAGAACAATAAATATTGTTTATTCATAGCTGTAGGGGTACGTTTATGTCTGTGGTGGGTGTAGCTGTGGGTGTAACACAACAGGTTACTGAAATGGGTAGGGTTGGGGTAGGTGTAGACAGTAATAAAACAATAGGTTGAGCAAACTAAACTAAATATAATATACAGTCAACAATGTTCTGGTTCAGTGTAAAAAAAATTATAATTATGTATTTGCAGTATTTCATGTATTGTGTGTAAATACTGTACATGTAATTTGTGTGGACATTATCGGAATAGCTGATGTAACTATATAGAATCATTACTGATCATCCATCATGGACTGAAACATTGCTGGATATATCTAAACTTTATTCACGTCACACTTGAGTCACGTAATATTGATATACGTAATATTTACTGCAAGCCTTTTGCAGCCTGCCCTTCCGACTGCCGCACGCCGTACAAGTTTACAGCCATACAGTGTTAGTTGCACTAAAAGGAGTAAGAAAGAAATATGGTTAAAAAGGTCAGTCACAGACATTGTTGACAAGAAACATCACTAGACTTCATGAGCTACTTAGTTTTTCGCTATCCAAGTCACACGTCACACTTGGGGCAGGGTAAAAGAAGATGATTAGACATTAAAGGGCACTTATGGTGAAAAATCTACTTTTCAAGCTGTTTGGACAGACATGTGTGTAGGTATAGTGTATAGACTGTCATTTTGGGGTGATATAAACACACACAGTAATTTTTTTTCAATTTAACAACAAAAAAACGGTGGACCAATTGGAGCGGTTTTCAGACCGACCGCAACTTTACGTAGGAATGCGGTCTCCCCGGCCACCAATATTGATTGACAGCCTTGAGTCACGATCATATCCTCAGTTTCTTGTTGCACGTCCGCCATTTTCAGCGTGTGAGTCGAAGCGATATCACTAAAGGAACACCCGTGCTCTATTTTTTGATGAAAAGCTCACTGGGCTCAACACAAGATCAATATTCTCCACATTATCACTCTAATCGGAATTATTGCTTGTATTTTTGCGTGGCGCCGTGCATTTCGGAGTTCTGGGCGTGGGTTTCTGTCGGCGTGTACACGGTGGAGCTTCGGGTCAGCTGCTCGGTGCTGCGTGGGTTTCTGTCGGGCTGCACGCAGTGAGCTTCGGGTCAGCAGCTCGGCGCTGCGTGGGTTTCTGTCGGGCTGCACGCAGTGAGCTTCGGGTCAGCGGCTTGGCGCTGCGTGGGTTTCTGTCGGCGTGAACGCGGCGGAGCTTAAGTTAATTCAGTGTGTGTGGTTATTAGTCTCGGTGTACACGCTCGGCACTTTTACACCGAGACTATACAAAGACACAAATGATTTTGTACTCTCTGCTTAGTCTGTATCCGAGTCCAACATGCACGGCTGAATGCTCATCCTAGCATAAGCTTAGCATCTCTCTCTCTGTAAGACTGTTGTAAACACAGAGCGTGAGAGCTCTTGGCTCCAGGCACGTGCACACATAGGGCTCAACCTGTGGAGTGCACATGCCCTTTTTAGTCTTTGATAGAAAGTGCCCTTATAAAATGATCAAAAGTGCCCCCGCGACGCGGCACACCCTCGGTCCCGCTCTTCAGTAGGCGTGCAACAACACCGCTCTTGAGTATGCGCGCGACAACACAGCTGATCAGAACGCGTGCGACAACACCACTCTTCAGTACACGCGCAACAAGCCCCCCTCCCCACCCCCCGCTCTTCAAAAAATTTATCCTGCACATGCCTTTTGGACGGTCTCTGCACGGACCTGCTTGGCTCCGCCCCTTGTTACGTTGTTACGTTGGCGGGAAGCCAAAACTGTGAAGCAACACGCCCCTAAACAGCAAACTGTGTAAACGCCCCCAACATGACACTTTTTAACACATTATAATAAAAACATCTGAACTGTGTTGAACTTAACCTAAACTGGCACACTCACTTACAAGAACCATTTTATTAATATTAAATCATTAAAAAGGTGTAAACTATGTGCCCTTTAAGTGGGTAATTTAAAATGTTTATTCACAGAGATGTCACATTTTGATCTTCTATTAGTCTCACGCAATCATAGGATGCGATTTTGCAGGTTAGAGTTCACCAAGCTTGAACTTTGTAATGCAGGGACATGTAAAAGTTTTCTCACAAGCTTGGAATGTATGAATGGAAGTCTATGGGGTGAAAAGTGCAGTCAGTGTGACTTTGACTTTACCTTTAGAAATGTGGTTCTCAACCATGTTCCTGGACCCCAGCACTGCTTTCTTCTTAGTCAAACACACCTGAATCAAGTCATCAAGACTCAAGTCAAAGACTCTAGTGCTGTATCCGGAATCACTCCTTATACCCTCATTCACTTTTCCTTGGAATAGTCCACTATTATATTCCCCTAAAAGAGTGAATGAAAATGAGTGAGTAAAATTTAAGCATTGAGTTACTAAAGGAATGCCTTTTTGTCTCTGCTTTGCTGGTCGATAAATCACTTGCTTTCTTTGTCAGACCGGGGATAGTTGTTTAGTGCTTGCTAAGTATTTTGTCATATACAAATGTTACTTTAATTAAACAATAATTTATTTATAAATGCACATCAATAGGATTCACACAAAAATTAATTCGACACAAAAACGCACAGTGGTTTATGAGTGTTTTCTAGCTGTTGGGTGTACATGGGTCATACATTAATTATTGCAGTGAATTATTTATTGACTAATTGCACTTCAAAACATGCTCTATGGTTTCGGACACCCCTACATATGGCTGTTCTCTAAAATAGGGCATTATTTAAGGGTATAGGGTTTTTGGATCAGTATGCATATACAACTGGGTGATACGATAAAGATCAAAACCTTGATTAACTAAACACTTTACCTCAATTGACTATTTTATTTTAAAGGCAATGTTCATCACAATCAGGTGCTCCTTTTTATACACTTCCGGATCACATGATCTCCTCTCGCATATATGTCAACATATACATGCATGCATATGTATACATACACAATCGTTCATATATACATATACATACAAATTGTCTGATGAAGAGCCGGGTGGCTCGAAACGTTACACGCTCTGTGTCAGCCTTTTTAATTTAATAAATTTGTATTTTTGGAGCCTTGGTGTTGCCGCCTTTGATTTACATTTAACACTTAGCCTGGTGGACCAGGACATACACACATACACTATGAACAATTTAGCTTACCCAATTCACCTTTAGCGCATGTCTTTGGACTTGTTGGGGAAACCGGAGCACATGGAGGAATCTCACGTGAACACGAGGAGAACATGCAAACTCCACACAGAAATGACAGACCCAGCCGTAGCTTGAACCAGTGACTATTTTGCTGTGAGGCGACAGCTCTACCTACTGCGCCACTGTGCACCCATTAGCAATAATAATAATTATTATTATTTTATTTATTCTTTCATTTATTTTATGGTAAAACTTAGTAATGCTGGTTGTTCATTCTGAGACGTGCCCTGATAAATAAGAGAATAAAACGAAGGAAAGTGAGTGATGTATAACAATGTCAGTGAAAGCTCTCAGTCTAGTTCAGGGATGGGCAAACTTGATCCTCGAGGGCCGGTGTCCCTGCAGAGTTTTGTTCCAACACTAGTCAAACACACCTGAACATGCTAATCAGTGTCTTTAAGATCACAAGAAATCTATAAGCAGGTGTGTTTGATTAGGGTTGGAGCTAAACTGTGCAGGACACCGGCCCTCCAGGATCGAGTTTGCCCACCCCTGGTCTAGTATATTATTTAAAAGAATAGTAGTAACAGAAGGATTAAAGAACTGGAATAACTGACATAGGACAGTTATTTCAATTATAGGTTATAAATTTCGGTTACGGTTTTATTTCAATTTATCGCTCAGCCCTAGTATATAGCTTGTTACTGTGTTTGATTTTGATGGCATAGGTCTTCTACATTAATACAAGTATACTGCCAGTATACTCACTGAAATACTGTCTGAGAATATAACACACTGCTGCTTATGGGATGCTGCCCACGGGGGTCACGATTTGATTCCAAAATGATTGTTAACTTAAGTTTTTCCTATTTCGTCTGCTGTATGTTTACATCTTTACATTTTAACCAGAATTGGAGTTTCTATCCTTTAGTTTAAAAATTGGAATCTATTTAAGCCCTTATATCTTAAAATAATAAATTTTATTAAAGAATTACTAATGATGAACAAGTTCTGAATGTAAATATGCTAATTACAAAGAGTAAGCGGAAAAACGTCAACTTTTAAAAATAGGATATTAAATTGTACAATAATGACTGAAAGTACATAGTACTTTTATTTTGTGTCTGTTGAAAACATTCAACTGCTTATATATTTCCAATTATTCCCCTTGTTGTATGATCCAGCTCTCTGACTGGTGGATGCAGTCTGCCTACCTGGATTCTCGAATGCCTGTGGTAGTGTACTCAAGTCCAGGGGTTGTTTTACCCAAAATGCACTTTCAAGATCGTCAAGGACAAATGAGGTGGGTGATGACATGTCCTTTTACTTTCATTTATATTTATATCAATTCATTTAAAAGATTCTTTTATACTTTTTCTTTTAAAAACAATTTATTTATGACGAAGCAAATAATCACAACCATAGCTATAACGAAGAATATACATTCACTTAGGGCTGGGCGATAATTCGATATCGATAATTATCACCATATAAAATTTTTCGATAAAACGATAATGACAGTTCGATAATTGCTCGATAATATTTACGCACTTATGCGTAACGTTGCGCAAGCATTTTGCAGCCTGCCCTTCCGACTGCTGCACGCCGTACAAGTTTACAGCCATACAGTGTTAGTTTCACTGAAAGGAGTAAGAAAGAAATATGGTAAAAAAGGTCAGTCACAGACATTGTTGACAAGAAACGTCACTAGACTTCATGAGCTACTTAGGTTTTCGCTATCCGACCCAAAACAGAGCAACGTGCACCGCAAACTGCTTAGACGACTCGTGTCATCAAAAGCAGGCAACACCACGACCTGTTTCACGATGTAAAATAAGACCACCCTTATAAAGATGCTAAGAAATTACAGACATAAACAAGTGTTGGCAAACCAGCACAGCTACCCAGCAGAGTCTCATGTCATCATTTTCGAAAGCCGTGCCTTACGAAAAAAAAAACGAAAAGACAAATGAAAGACATGACAGACAACACAATCTCAATCACATCTCCATGAACATTTGATGCTTGCTGTAAACTACAGCCTGCATCATTTAAGGGTATTTGTTAAGACAATAATAAGATCTTTTGATGTCAAGCTTATGTTTCCTTTTTAATATTAAAATATTTTTTGGAAAATCTGTAATACCACTATTGTCTCTCATCGACGGTAAAATAACCAGCCTTTATATATATTAAAGGACATAATCACAGAGGAGAAATCAGATGCTCAAGACATAATCTTTAAAATAATGACATATTAAAAATGCAGCAAATGACAGACGTTTACAACAGCAACAGCTTTTTTTCCACGGAGCGAAGCATCATCCACCCGCAGTTGTTTAAGGTGGACACGAACTAAATAAATAAAAGCATATTTCCTTGAAAATGTATCTTTTTGTAACGAATTTCGTTTTGTATAATGTGTAACTTAATTTTAAAGTATATTTTGTTGGTCAGATATCTACAGCATAAACAAGAGGAATGAATAACATCTGAGGTGAAGCTCTTTAACACAAGCCCGCTATATGCTTTAGCGCCAAAACAATCCATCAAACTATTTACACGGTTTCATTTTCATTCATTAACTAAGCGCGTTCTGAGCAGCATGAACTGAACAGTCTTTTAGCAGCACTGATAGATTTCTTGGGTTACCTCGAAAGAATAAACTTGGATGGAGCTCAGAAGCTCACTGTAAATGGAGAGGCTCCCCGGCTGACTCCCCGCATGTTTTCGTTGTGATGCGCGATTTGTAAAATGAGAGTCTGCATAGACCTATTTGTCTGTCAGACAAATTTGGTTAAAACACGCGCGGATATATTAGAGATATGCGCATAACAAGGTTTTATGCGACCCGCAATATGGGATGTCAAGAGGGTGACAGCATAAGTAAGGTAAACTGCACACTTGATTATGTAATTCGTGGATGCGTCTCAGCGCAAAGCATAACTAAACCTTTACTTGTCCATGCTTAATCAGTCATCTATAAGGTCTATCAATTAAAGCGTTCTCGACAATCAATAGATCAAGTAATCATTAGCATCCCTAAATAAAATACATTAAAGGGCACCTATGGTGAAAAATCTACTTTTCAAGCTGTTTGGACAAACATATGTGTATATATAGTGCATAGACTGTCATTTTGGGGTGATATAAACACACCCAGTCCTTTTTTTTTTTTTTTCAATTTAACAACATAAAAACGGTGGACCAATAAGAGCAGTTTTCAGACCGACCGCAACTTTCATCATTTTGCATCTCTCGTTACAAAGCAACCATCAATCGTTTTTCAGAGGATGACAAGTTTATAGAGTAAAGAAAAAAAAACCACTGCAGTGTTTGGATGTGCTGTGTTTGTTTGAGGTAATTAGTCTGCAGTTATTACTGAAATGTGTAAATTCCATACAAAGTCTAAAGCAGATTGGTTTGTTGTACTTTAATGAATAGTGGTGCGCTTTTGCCATTTGAAAACGTTGAGATTTTCACTAGGTGCGCCTTGAAAATGCATGCAAGTCACATGTGCGCTGCTTGCACAACATGTGCGCATCACTCCAATATGCGTTTCATGCAAGTCATGTGCCTCCATTGGAAATGACAAACTTGCACCTTAAGCTTATTGGCATTGCTTCTAAGGTTCACACTCAGCAGCCACATTTTAATAAAGCTATAGCGCTTCATACTGAAATCTCATAATTTGTATTGATATTGACAATGGTGTTTGGTGACGGGGTGACGCAGTAGGTAGTGCTGATGCCTCACAGCAAGAAGGTCGACAAAGAATAATCTTAGACAAAGATTTTGTACTCCCTGCTTGGTCTATTTTGCGACTCGTACATGTACGGCTGAATGCTCATCCTAACTTAGCTTCTCGCTCTCTGGGCCCTATCATACACCCGGCACAATGTGGCGCAAGGCGTGGCGCAATTGTCTTTTGCTAGTTTCAGCTTGGCGCAAGAGTCGTTTTGAGGCGTTGCGCTACGCTGTTTAAAGAGCAAATGCATTAGCGCTTATATGTATGCCATAGGCGTTCTGGTCTAAAAAGGAAGGCGTTATGAGGCGCACTGCTGGCGCGTTGCTATTTTGAGAAACTAAAATAGATTTTTCATTAGACCAAAACAAACCCGGTCTAAACTCTGGCGCAGAGTTGCACCTCGCTTACACACTGCTTAATACGCACAAGAGAACAATAGGCAAATATCTTTACATATGAAAAAACTTAAATATTAAGGATAAATATAGGATATAATAAGAATAGATATAGGATATAAATATAAAGGATTAAAATATTACAAAACATTATTTTCTAGCCTACATAAATATGAAAAATCACTGCTTTTATGTCTTCTTCATCTCGGGAGGCCTTTTCAGTTAATTTATAACAATTTTCTTTTTCTATAATGTTATTATTATTAGCAGTATTATTTATTATATCCATATTTATATTTGTTTTATTAAAAACAAGCTTGGATTTGCCCACCTGTCTGGTTTTAGACCATATGGGGCACAGCATGTGTTTTAGGATATAACTCAGGTTTTTGAGCACACTTCGTTATTATTGTTCATTTTATTCGTTTGCTGGAAATTAGAACTGAATTTAGAAATAGTTTTGAAACTAATATTTGCGCTTAACAAACGCAATTAATTATTTATAGACTAATTGATTTAATGTTTGCTAGTGAAATGCTCAGTTTTTCCACTTAGACCTACTTTACGTCCTGTAAATAGCGAATGCAATTATGGCGTGACGCAGCTGGCTCTTAAAGGGAATGGGAGATGAGACTCTAATTGGTTTATTCTCAAAACACACCTATAACTCATTAAGAAATTAAACTCAACCCTTTTAGACCATGCGCCACGGCGCAAAGCCGATTTCCCGTCCTTAAATTAACCAAAGTGCGTTCTGACACACCCTGAAAGCGTTTGCGCCCTGCGTTTTGCGCTCTGCGCAAGGACCGTCAAAATAGAGCCCTCTGTCTGTCAGCCTGTCTGTTGCAAACACAGAGCGTGGAAGCTCTTGGCTCCGCCCCCTTGTTACATTGGGCGGGAAGCCGAAACTGTGAAGCAACACGCCCCTAAAACAGCAAACTGTGTAAACGCCCCCAACATGACAATTTTTAACACATTATAATAAAAACATCTGAACTGTGTGTTGAACTGAACCTAAACTGGCACACTCAGAACAACCATAATATTAATATTAAATCATAAAAAAGAGGTAAACTATGTGCCCTTTAAAAAGTGTGGTAATTTCACAATGAAAGGGTGTAAGAAAAAGACACTGACAACAGAACTGCTAACAAAAGGGATTTAATGTACAAAAGTGAAACTAGAATAATGTTCAAACATATACAAAAAAAGAGAAATATTTTCAATAATAAAAATAAAAAGAATATAGTAAAGTAGCAAATTCAAGCAAAGGATCAGACGAAAATTAGTTCAACTCAAGAATAAGGGGACGATAGTGAAGCCAAACAAAAAAAGAAAGAAATATAACAAAACAATTCTAATTTATGAATAACCCATTACCTCACTAGAAACTAATGAAAGGAAAGGTCTTTAGCACCCTATTCTTCCCTATACTGAGCTGTAGAATAAGATAAATATAAAGATGACATTCACCTCTTACCTGATGTCTTTAACAATACATTTTCTAAGTGTTTGCAAAATGGAAGTTCTACGACATCTTCCCTATCCACCTTACTCTGAGAAAGGAGTGAACTGAACTTACGCTACAACAATAACATTAATTTCAGACAAAGCTGCAATGTATTTTACTGGTGAATATGTCATGTAAAAACACTTTACAAACACATTATATGTATATTTTTTCATTAATTTAAATGGAAACCTATATCTAAATGAAAACTTAGGTGCATCACTGAGCATCACTATGTCTTACTTAAGATGGCTGCACTAAAAAGAATAGTTTTTTCAGACTAATCTGTATTGAAGGTATTTATTTAATTTTTGTTGTTTACTCGGGTATCTTGACTGTACTAAAATGTGATTGCAAAGATAATAAAGAAAAAGTTTAGTTGTTCTTGTTATTAAGTGAATTTATTATTCCTTAACATTGCTGTTAAGATGATATCAACCCTAACCCCACAGCAAACAGAAACCGAACCGTGGCACCAAAACCGTGAAACGAACCGAATCATGCCTTTGGTGTATCGTTACACCGCTAGTATTGGCTGATAATTACATTTTATGACTCAATTGGTACTTGCCAATCTAGCCATTCTCATGAACTGATCACTGGCGTTATGAATTAGATAATTAATTCTTGAAATCATGGATATTAGAGTG